CGAGCAACAATATTAACCAATATGATATAAATGATAACAATGATATCTACAGCATTAACAACAATAACACTAACAACACTCAAAACTATCAGTCAGACGCCAGTATTCAGATAAACATCCAGTGTACACATTCATTACCATCACTACCATCAACTTCATCATCGTCATCGTCGTCGTTATCATCATCATCGTTGTCAAAAGAGACATCCACATTATCATCATCATCATCATCATCATTATCGACAACAACACCATCTTTATCCTCAGTATCATCGTTATCATTATCATGTCTGCCGATGCGCTACTTCCGGCTTCAAATGCCTAAGCTACCGTGGAGCAAAACGACGACAACCATTTTTGATGACGACGACGACGACGATGACTATAGTTGCAGTAATAATAATAATAATAATAATAATAATAATAATAATAATAATAATGATAATGATAATAATAATAATGATAATGATAATAATAATGATAATGATAATGATAATAATAATGATAATAATAATGATAATGATAATGATAATGATAATGATAATGATAATGATGATGATGGTGATAATGATAATGATAATGATGATGATGATGATGATGATGGTGATAATGATAATGATAATGATGATGATGGTGATAGTGATAACGATAATGAAGTTGATAATAACAATAATAATAATAACAACAACAATTTAAAAACCTGCCAAAATAGCACCACCACCGACGATGCCAACAATTTTGGAGATAGCGTGGGGCTAAAAATAGACATCAATGGAATTTCCCGCCACGCTATTAATAATAATAATAATAATAATAATGATAGTAATAATAAAAATAATAATAATAATAGTAATAATAGTAGTAATAATAATAATAATGATAATGATAATAATAATAATAACTCACGCACGATCAACAACGAGCTAGCATGTGATGAAGATCATCATCAGGAGCATCATCCTCTTCCTCATCTTTGTCATCTTCATCCTTACCATCATCATCATCATCCTAGGCGTCCACATCGTCGTCGTCATCGGCAGCCAACGGACGTAGATGTCGGTGATTTAAATTATTCAGAACCAGCCGAAGTTGGTGATAAAAAATTCATTTATAATTTCGTTTCATTTTTTCATTGTTTGCAGAGAAAAGAGAGATATGAAAAAAGAAAGAAGGCGAGGATAGAGAGAAAGAAAGAGAAAAAGATAATACATAGAGAGAGAGAGAGAGAGAGAGAGAGAGAGAGAGAGAGAGAGAGAGAGAGACAGAGACATAAAGAGAGAGAGAAAAAAAAAGAGAGAGACACACAAGTCATTCAAGGAATGTAGAAAGTGTTTGATGTAAAATTATAGGGGAGCATAAATAATTAGCTCACACACACGCACACTCACATGTGCGATTGGATTAACAAAGCATACTATAAATAGTTTTCCTATTCATCATAATTTTTGTTTAAATAATTTCATAAGCATTCTTATTTCAACCGAAAAAGATTATTATTGATGTTGTTATAATAATTATTTGTTATTTCTATAATTTATTATTTTCCTAATTATTCTCACAATAATTATCCAGTTTCATCTCAATTTTCTTTCGCCATCATCGTCCCATTTCGTTTTCTTCAAAGTGACAGGCAGCAGCTCTACAACCAAACCAGGCATCAACATTCTAAAAAAAAAAATAATAACCATCATGTTGTTTTTATAAATATTTTAAAGTTTGTTTGTCATTTTCAACATTTCAGAGAGAGAGAGAGAGAGAGAGAGAGAGAGAGAGAGAGAAAATAGTTAAAACATTTAAATTAATGATTAATAAACAGATATATCTTGCCAAGATATTAATAATCCGATTCAAAACAAATACCTGGATATGCTAAAAAAATTTTATAAAAAAAACATTCGGAAGCTATTCCAAAAAAAATTAGAAAGAAAAAGGTGGGAAAATGTAAATTAACAAGTATTCATTCAATCAATTTATTATTCTTTTATTCAATCACTCAACTAGCTGATTATATAATTATTTGTTCAATCATTCAAACAGTTGATCATTCAATCATTCATTCAATCAATCGTTCATTCATTTAACCAATCATTCAATCAATCAATCAACCAACAAATCAAGAATTTTTTGGATAAGATAATTTTAAAATATTCAACAGCCAACGTTGAATAATTGTCAAAATCGTTACAATAGTACGCACTTAACAACAAAATAAAGAAAAATCATAAAGGACGCAATTTACAGACACTGAATCAAAACATCAAATTTTTTCAATTTTATTAAAAGCAATAGTGAGTTGTGTGGGCTTTGTTTATCAGATCATCAACACAAAAACTATTATTTCTGATGAAAAATGATAAAAAGATAGATAGATAGATATAAAGATATAAGAGAGAGAAAGAGAGAGAGAGAGGGAGAGAGAGAAGAAAGAAAGATTATATCTAATTATACATGAAAAATATAAGAGCTATTAGAGTGATCTAATTTATTTAGTCAAATAAATAGTTTCATCATGGCTCGTTGGCTGGCTGGTGTAATGCCTGAAAGGAATGTTGTTTACACTGATCTAAACAATGAGTTAATTTGCATTAACGTTTTTAAAACAACTTAACCCATTTAGTTTGTAGATTTTTTTCTCATTTCATGCCATTTATCAGGCGAGCGACGTTTCGATAATGCCAGAAATGATTGGATATACAACTTCAACAACGACAACAAGTTCGACGACACCGACTACAACAATTTCAACGATTACTTTAGCATCAACAACATCGCCAACATCATCAACTGTTGCATCAACAACAAAAACAACAACAACAACATCACTCATACTATCATCACCATCAGATATTTACGATCCAAATTTTCAAACACCAGTAGAGATGTTGTCATCATCATCACCATCATCGTTATCGTTAAACGTTTTTTTCAAACACGAAATTAATAATGATAATAATAATAATAGCAATAATAGTAATAATAATATTAATATTAATAATAATAGCAGTTACAACAGTAACAACAATTATAAAAACACCGACATCAACCGATGTTTTAATAATGACACTAACATTTCAGACAGTATCAATAACATCCAATCATACGTCAATAACATCAATTGCAGCAGCAACAACCTAATTGATAACAACAACAACAACTCAAACGATAACATTATCAACGACAATCTATTCAATCTTACGATCATAAAAACCGACAATCCCTACAAGATCGGTTCATCGGTTATTCAACGAGCCAACGAATATGTAGCGACACATCGCAGAAATATCAAGACATCTATAGTTAGGCCGTTGATTCGAGATGGAGATTGCCATTTGCAACATCACCCATCACATCAAAACAACGATTTTATTGTCAGCAGTGCATGCCAAAGGTTAAATGACATTAAAAACTATAACATCAATTACATCAGCAGCAATAATAAAACTAACAGCCATGGTAATATGAAACGCAACAATAGCAACGATAACCATAAATCTGTTAATACCATTAACGATAATATTAACCATTCTTACATTAACGACAATAGTGATGTTGATGTCAACAACAACAACAACAAGTTTAACGAATTCAATACACCGAAGGAAAACATCAAACTTCCAAATCACATCAAGGAATGGGACGTTAATAAACACGGCAGCAAGTTATTTCATAATGCCAGCGGGCCAACTAACTGTGCAAAAACAACAAAATGTACAGATAGCAACGGCAACAATCTACCCTTGTCCTACAACGAAAATTTCGAAATGTCTGCCGAAAATGAGTGTGCGTACCATCAAGAAACACTTAAAAACACACTTGACCAACGGCAGAAGTGTGAAAATCAGTCTCCCTCTTGTCATCAGCTGTCTCAAAAGGAAGAACATCATCAAGAGAAAGAAAAACATCAGCAACAGAAACATGAACAACAACAAACGCATCTTCAGCAGCAGCGGCAACTACATCCTCTTCTTCCTCTTTTTTTCCCTTCTCAGCAGCAGCAGCATGAGCAACATCATTCTCATCATCAACATTTGCATCATCACCATCCTCACCAACATATTCAAATTAAGCAGAAACATCGTCTCCATCCATCATCATTTCATCTCATGAAAAAACCATTTAGTCACCTCTTGTTGCAAATATTAAACCTTAACTTAAGTAATTGCGATCTCTATAAATTAAGCAGCGCTACTGGTGATAATTCAGACGATAATAATGATAATAATAATGATGATAATAATAAAAGCGATGGTGACGATAATGATAATATAAATAATAAAAATAATAAAAAACTTGATGATGGTGATTGTAGTTATGGCAGCAAATGTGGTGTTAAAATCATTGATGAACGTGAAGACGCCGATGAAATGAAAGTCCTCCATAGTGAAAATGATGATCATGTTGATGATGATGGTGTAAATGATGAGGTATTTGATGGTGGTGATTACGACGACGACGATGATGATGATGGTGGCGATTATGATGATGACCATGATGATGATGATGATGATGATGATGATGATGATGATGATGATGATGATGATGATATTGTTGCTAATATTGAGAATGATAAAACGTTGAAAATAATAATAATAATAATAATAATAATAATGTTGTTTTTGATGATGAGGATGATGATGAGGATGATGATGATAAAGATGATGATAACAGTTTAATAAGAAAATTATTTTCATATTTTATTTCAGATCAACTCGTTTATTAAAACCTATATGTCGTTGCAGGGCAAGGTACTGTAAATTATTTTTTCATTTAAATTATTTGTTATAATAATTTCTAAGCCATTCCTATAATTTTTTTCATCAATATAAACGACTTTATAATATAATGTACTCAACTTTCTTATGAAAATTTGTTTTACAAGCTTTTCGTTAAAACCAGCGTAACCATAAAAATATTTCAATTACCGAGATTTTAAATCTACAGATAGAATAAAATCTTTTTTACTCGCTATTCACTAGGTGGAAATGCTGATTAAAAAAGAGATGGACGAGAAATACCGAGGTAGATGGCGCATGCATCTTGACCAATTAGATACGGTTCTGAGACTGGTCATCAAACTGACCGACAACTTCATCAGTGCATCTCAAGAATGCAATTTCGAACATTTCAAATCCCTTGCGGATTTAAAAAAGGTTGGCTATACATTTTCTTTCATTTTTTTTTGTGTTTGATTCACCGAATTTGAAATAAATATAATTTTATTAAAAAATATTTTTTGTTGCAGGAACTTTTGAGCGAGAGGCAGCAACATCTGCTTGAAAGGTTAGTGGAGGCGTGTGACCTCAAGGCCAACATCGAGGGCAAAGGTCAACAATTGATTGAAAAGGTCACGAACAATGGATGTTTGTACAATAGGATGGTGTTGTTGTTTGAAAGTAGGGTGGTATACGCTCTTTTCAGTTACAACAACAACAATAACATCAACAACAATAAAAACGTTAACAGCATCAGCAACAATAGCATCAACACAATCTACTGCAGTTACACCAATAACATCAATAACAATGCTAGCAACATTAACCAAAACGATGGAAACATTAATAGCAGCACGAACATTAATAACATTTCTATGGTTACCTCGTTATGAGGGTGTCGATTTTCTCAACCGACCAACTATTTTCGATATGTTTGTTTGTTTTGAACTATGTACCGCAAAGTGCTTATTGTCCGGAAGTGGAAAGACAATGGAAAGATTATTCTGTTTTATCTTTGTCTGATTTTTTTAAATAAAAAATATTTTTTTATTATTTCATATAAATGTGTAAATATAAATAAAATATAAATTTGTTATTCAACGTTCAAAAACGCGTAAAAAATATTTAAAAAATTAACAAACAAAATGATTTCTTAATAAATAAATAAATAAAATAATCAAATAAATAAAGAAAAAATAAGTAAACCAGTAATTGAGTAAGCATTTCATGGCGACAATATCTTAAAATACTGCCAACAACCAAACAACAACATTGTTCGTCTCGATATAACCTGATTCAACCAAGAAGACTCAATGTTTCACTCTGCATGTAACGTGTTCTTCGTGAACTGTCTCTAAAAACATATATCTGCCGTTTTATTACATATTCAAGATTCAAAATATCATACTTTGTTATTATGTTCGGAGTTATCAAGCTAATCGCTTTGATATTTGTCAGAAAGATTTTTTTTATTTAAAGTATTTTACGTACTTCAAAAAACTTTATGAAATATTTTACTTTAAATTCAGCGTTGAATTATATTCTCACAAAAAGAATAAATTTTATTTTTGGGTATTAATTAACTAATTAATTAATTAATTATCGGTTTTTACATCAACAAAACATATACCCCTTCAAACTTAAATTGCAATCATCATCTTTGTCGTCATCATCACCTTCATCATCACCATCATCACCAATACTACTATAATCATCACCCTCATCTTCATCTTCTTCTTCAGCTTCATCATCATCATCATCTTCTTCTTCCAGGACAACAGAAGTAAATTCTGGTAAGCCAACCTCCATTTATTTTGACTTGTGTTACGTTAAACTAACTTCTAAAAATCTCTAAAATTATACGTGTTTGTCTGTATATATATATATATATATATATATATATATATATATATATATATATATATATATAATAAATAATATATAATACCCACGTTTTGAAGATGCTGTACTTACAAGAAGACGTGTTTTGTTGTGTGTGTGTGTGTGTGTGTGTGTGTGTCATTCCTGTTTTTTATATCCGGAAATGTAGAATTTTAAAATCATGGAATTCGAATCTGTTTTTTCAGATCTACCATTGTTATTTAATGAAATTGGATACTACAATGATGTTAGTCAAATAAAATTTTTAATAACCAACTAAAATATTAATAGTTCAAATTAATTTTGGGTTAACATTGATTTGAACCCTGTTGAATCTCGCAACATGATCGATTGATTGAATAAAAACTCGTTACGTTACCTAACATTTTTCTGCGGCACCTTTCAAAAAGCAACTAAGTACCACTTAACTAATTTCAAAATGTAATCAAATGTAATTCTTCAAAGGGGAATTTAATGTTTTAAAAAAAGATCTGTTAAATAAAATATTTTCGAAATAATAAATTAAAACTAAAAATTTAATAATGAATTAAATTTCGCGCATAAATTCATTTCTTCAGAAAATGCACTGCCCCCTTAGATAGGAGAATCGAAATAACATTTCGGGTTGGTTAGTGTTGTTAGTAAGTTAGTTTTTTTAGCTTTAGAGTTTAGTTAGTAGTTTATTTTATTTTTATTTATTTTTTTCCTAAATTTTATTTTAATAGATAATTTATTAATTTATTGCTTTATATAAATTGATTTTTGATCCAATCAACTGTTGACCCAATTTGTTATTTAATGTTTTTTATTTTTGATATGAGAATTTTACAAGCATGGTTTCTTTATCTTTGGTACTTTGGTTAAGAAATTGGTATATTATAAATAATGTGCACTGGACTGTTAGCTGTCAAACATTTCCTGAATCTGTATTAGTGAAATAATGGCTGCTAATTCAAATGGTTGTACTACTAGTAATAATTTAAGAACATTAATGATGATGCAGCAGCAGCAGTTGGCAGGTTGTCTCACCACCCACACCACCACTACTGGTAAAAAGATGAATAGTCTTGAGTGCAGGGCTATTATAGAAGAAGAGATTATTAGTGAAGTGCATTCTCATTGGTGGAAGCACCTGGTAGCTGGAGGAGTGGCGGGAGCTGTCTCAAGATCGTGCACTGCCCCGCTTGATAGGATCAAAATCTTTCTGCAGGTTCGTTTGTTCTTATTTCTCTTCCATTTTCAGTCATGACGTGGTAGGTAACGTTTTTATTTTCAACAGTCGACCTTAATGAATCTCATGTCTGTTACATTTATTTGTATGAAAAGATTCAAAAAAGTGAAATTTTTTTCAAATATTTGACCAGCTTTAGCTAGATTGGTTGCATTTTTTTATATTTTTATTAAAGATTTCATTTATTATTAACATATTAATTTTATTATAAACTAAATCTAATCTATAAACTAGATTGAACTGGAGATGACATTTATATTTCAAATAAATATTTTAAATATAAATTCTCTCTCTCTTTATCTCTCTCTCTATTTCTTTCTTTTTCTCTTTCTTGTGTATTAATGTCGGCTTATATACTTGAATTAAATGTTAATAAATAACATTTAGTCTAAGAAGTAGTGTATGTTTTTAAATGTGAATTATTGATGGATATTTATGGTGAATTTTAAGGCATTTGCTCTAATGTGAATTATATTTTTTTTAGTAGGAATTAATGTAATTAAAAAAAATTTTTTATTTTGTTTTTTAATTCCAGAAATTTTAAAAATGTGACATATAATTAAAATGAAATATAATTTAAATAATAACCAAATGCACGTCAAAATGTCAGGTGGACAAAGCCAAAAATAAAACTCCTTTAACCCTGAGAAACGCCAGCAGGGCGATTTGTAAGGAGGGCGGGGTTTTCTCGTTCTGGAGAGGCAACGGAGTCAACATTGTCAAGGTCGTTCCAGAAATCGCCATCAAGTTCACCCTTTATGATGAGGTTCGCCAGAGAGTCGATTGATTGTTTGGTTGATTTTAATTCATTAGTTGATTGATTTTAATTAGTTGATTGATTGGTTAGTTTGGCCGTTAATTTATTTGTTTATTAATAAACTACAAATAAAAACATAAAAAATGAACATTGGCAGTTTAAGAAGAAGTTGATGCTGTATCGGGAGAACGAGGAGGCGGGGATGTTTGAAAGGATGGCTGCCGGAGGTTCCGCTGGTTTCATATCGCAAACCATCGTCTACCCGCTCGAGGTTTGTACTGCTGATACTTCTGATGCTGCATCTCATTTCTGTCTCGTTTATAAATTTGTTTTGTATTTTTAGTAACAACTTGTTGTTTGGGTGGAATTTTTATGGATATGGATCATCAATGTTGGTTAATAGAAGCAAACACACTGCAAATACAAACATGCTCATGTATGCAAACATTTTCAAAAATACCTGTGAGTAAGATGCAATGCCAAACTACACAGATATCTCCGTGCGCACACAAAAAAACTACAAATAGCACACATGCAATCAATGATACGCACACTCTTGATACTCAAATACAAAATACGCATATAAACAATAAAACTAACAGGTTATGAAAACTCGTCTGGCCCTTCGACAAACCAATCAGTCGAGCTGGTCGTGTGTGAGGGACATATTTCAGCAGGGAGGCTGTTCACCCAGGGCCTTCTTCCTTGGCTACTCTGCCAATGTTGTGGGCATCGTGCCCTACGCAGCTATTGACCTTGCTGTTTATGAGGTGTGTCTTATTTTTTTGCTAAATATTATTTTTATTATTAATTTTATTATTCTTATTCTTATTGTGTTTTTTTGGTTTCACAAGTCAGATTTATTTATATACTCGAATGTGCATGCTTGGAGCTGTATTCTTGTTCCATGTGTTATGTTCTATATCATAGTCACATTTTATAGTCTGCTAATAACTTCTTAGTGATTGCATCTTAAAAGTTGATTTATCTTTTATTTAAGGCCATTTAGCTGTAATTGTTGTCTCTGTCGCTGTCTTTAAATTGATATTCTAAAAATTGAACCTCAATTAAAATACATATAACATGATTCATTCCCATTTATTCGTGACTGGATCGAAGCATATGTAAAATAATGTTACTTTTAACTAATTTAGTTTTACAAGCAAACTCAAACAGACGAATACAAACAAACAAACCAACAAATACAAACAGACATTGAAGCGGAGGTACATGGAGTACACGAACACGACAGACACGCCACACAGTTTTGCTCTGTTTGGCTGCGCATTGATGAGTAGTCTTCTCGGCCAGACTGTCACCTACCCTCTGAATCTCGTTAAAACTAGAAAGCAAGCTACAATTGGTGAGTGCAAGTGTGATTGATTGATTGGTTGAATGGTTGGTTGATGTGATTTGATTGTTGTAGAATGCTTATTTTGATTGCCTGGTTGTTTTCCTATGCCGCATTTTCAGTTGGTGACGTTTCTCTTAACCATCCTCATCGTATTTTATTTCCACATCGTACGTTAGCCACTTTTCATCCTAACTCGTCATCTAACTTTGTACGATTCGTAGTTTCCAAGACGTCACACCACCTCTCGTTGGCAAGCTACCTACGACTCATCTCGAGAACGGAGGGCATACCCGGGCTCTACAGAGGCCTCTCTGCCAACCTGCTCAAAGTCGGGCCTGCAGTCTCCCTCGTCTACGTTGTGTATGAGAGGGTTAGAGAATTTCTCGACGCTCCCATGAGATAAACTTCCTCTATTAGGCCATTTTAACTATGACAGTCTTTTTGTCTGTGTGTGTGTGTGTGTGTGTGTGTGTGTGGGTGTGGGTGTTTGGGGGAGAGAGAGAGAGAGAGAGAGAGAGAGAGTATGAAAGATTTCAATCCAATTATGAAATTATAAAACCTTCGTTAATTAAACAGTGTATTATCACTTGAAAGTGAAGTTTGTTGTGTATTATCACTTGAAAGTGAATTTTGTTTGCGTTTGTTTCTGTTTTTTCGGGTAAATTTAATACTTTCATTTGGAATTTGGCTTTACAATTTGATATTAGCTGATGACATTTTTTTATGGCGCGGTGCGTGCAGATGTAGCTATGTATGTATGTACACAACACACACGTACGTTTGTACGTGTGTGTACACTTGCAGTCTGATCCAGTTTATATACATTTTCAAATCTCTGTTCATTTATGGAATCAAATCAATAGATGAAAGCCGCTTTCATATTCATCATATTTTTTCATCTTGTTTCTACATTTTATAATTTTTCTTCGTCTCCCTCGAAGTTATCTTTTTTTTTTCTTCCATTTATTTATTTTTTACAATTAACTTTTTTCATTTAGGAAATTTAACTAACACTGTAGATCCTGATATATCTTTTAATCTCATGTTAATTATATATATATATATATATATATATATATATATATATATACATATATATATATAATTACTAATGTATATATATACGTGTGTGTGTGTGTGTGTACGTGTATATTTACTCATGTATTTATATCATATTGTGATCATTTCATTATACTCTTCTGTTCTAGCTTCTCTTACGTTTTATTTTTTATACTTTTATTTGTTTTTTTTTTGTTTGTGTGTTTGTCTCTGTGTTTGTTTGTTTGTTTGTCTCTGTGTTTGTTAGTTTATGTGTTTTTTGTAACGATTTTATATAGGTTTAATGTACTACTGTAAATATTAATGTAATTTTCCTTAATATAAGTGATAATTATGGTGATTAAATGATATATTATAGAAGATATATATATATATATATATATATATATATATATATATAGGCTACTAATTTAAACTATCTACTGATATATATATATATATATATATATATATATATATATATATATATATATATATATATGTATAGGCTACTTATTTAAACTATCTACTGATAATAAATGACTAAGTAGATAATGTTTTATGGAATTAATTAAAAAAGTGGACCTCGTTATTTATCCGTGTATCTTGTGTATCATCATTATTATCACTTTTATGAATGATGATGCTTTTTATATCATCTGACATTAAATGTGATACATTCGTGTTTTTTGTATATGTATATATATATATATATACGTTTGTGCGTGTGCGCGCGTGTGTGTACACAGTGTGTTGAGTTTCATTTCATTAATTCATACCTGTTGTGGTTCTCGTAAGATACTCATTAAAACTACCAGTTGTTCTGCACGCGTTTACTTTAATAGATTTTTTTCTTCGTGTTTTTACTTTTTTTTTAAGGTTCTGTCTTTCTCTCTCTCTTTCTCTCTCTCTCTTTCTCTCTCTCTCTCTCTCTCTCTCTCTCTCTCTCTCTCTCTCTCTCTCTCTCTCTCTCTCTCTCTCTCTCTCTCTCTCTCTTGTTCATTAGAGATGGTGTTCATAGTCTTCTTCTTAGGTAAAATTTTGAATGTTATGTATGTATAATATATATATACATATATATAATATATATATATATATATGTTTATATATTTGTATTTGTATATTTGTATATTTATTTAATTATTATTATTTAGTTTTAAATTCTGTTACTCATTGTGTGCTGTATTTTAAGATGACCGCAATAACAACATATACCTTTCTAAGACAAAGACACATAGAAAGGACACCAAAATCAAGACACATACAAAACAAAGACGCATACAAAACAAAAACACATACAAAACAAAGACACATACAAAACAAAGTCATATACAAAACAGAGACACATACAAAACAAAGTCACATACAAAAGAGAAACACGTTATAGGAAATTGAAATGATTTAATATTGCACTGAGAAAAAATGACGTCAGATGATAGGATAGTTGGTTTTTGTAGCATTTAAAGAAGAATATCATAATAATAATAATAATTCATTGAGATTTTCCTTTTTTTCATTTATAACATTTGAAATAAAAAATTTTCATATACATCAAATAGGTTTTATCGTTTTCCAAAACAATTATATTCAATTATTTTTCATTCGTGCTCTTTAATACACATGAAATATTATTATTGTTGTTATCATTTATTATTGTTATTTTATGGTTTTGTGTTATGCAGTGTTGAAGTAGACGCTCTGCATGGAGTACAACCTGTCAATTGGGTTTGTGGCTTTGTTTTCGTTGTTGTAACCGAATGGCTTTGTCGGCCCATGTCCAAATATGTTACTGTTGTTGTTGTTGGTGGTGGTGTTGGTGTTGTTGTTGTTGTTGGTGGTGGTGTGGTTGGAAAATATGCTGTTGTGTTCGAAGGGGCTGCTTTTGTGTTGCAGCTGCGTGTCGTTGTTGTGGTCCTTGTGGTCGGACGCATAGAAGTTGTTGAATGGACTGAATATGTCGATGGTTCTGTTGTTGTTTATGCCGCTGAAGCGATCGTCGTTCAAGAGTAGGTCGCTTGGAAGTAGGATGTCGAACGTTGACGCTGCTGTTGCTGCTGCTGATGAGGATGACGATGTTGTCGCCTGTGTGGTCTGTGTCTTTTTGTCTGTGTCTGGATTGAAAGTTGTTTAATGTTGAATCAAAAAGTATAACGATTTATATCGAGGCGATTGATGAGCCTGCGTTTGCTAGATTGCTTACATCGGTATAGGCCAAAAACGTTTAAAACATTTACAACACATTCAACACTCACGTGCAATCATCTCATCCAAAACATTATCACGTCACATCAATTTATCGCATCATATTCGCTAACATCATTTAGTTTATGTGTCTTACTTTTAAAACACATTGCAAATACATCAGAGACATTGATGTTAGGCGACATCTATAACATATTAAATAACATTGAATAACATTCAGTACAGGCCTTATAAACACTGACATTGTTTTGCAATCAAATGCTTATTACTGTAATCTCAATTTGACTATCATGCATTACTTTTCAATAGTTAGGATTACTGAGATTCTCTAGGTTTTTTAAAAGTTTACCGAGTTTTTCCAATTACTAAATTACAAACACCAGTTAATATGATCTTACTCACTTAGAATCGAGTTTGAGAATGAGTTGTTGGTTTTACTGTCTTCGTTGTGTTTCGAGTCACTGGACAATGGTCCTATCATTTGCAGAGATAATAATTTATCTTATTTTTTTTTGTTTTTAAATACATTTTTTGATTTTATTATTAGTTATTAAAGTAATTAATCATCATTTTAATTTTATAAATTAGTTATTTTATTATCTTCCGTCGTCTGACCTTCCCCTTCGGAGCTGGAGTCACTGAACGGTGTTGTTGAACCTAGCGAGTGAATGTAGAAATGGAATTAATTTTTTTGATGATACATGTATTAAATATATGGATTAATCATTTTTTAATCATGCAAATCTTTTTAATTTATTAATTTATTCAACCGATTATTTTTACTTTTTTATGCATTCAGCCATCCATTCATCCATCCATCCATCCATCTGCTAACCTCCGGTTTCTTCCTCTTTTTTCTTTTTATTGTTGTTATTGTTGTTGTTGTTATTATTATTGTTGTTGTTATTGTTATTGAGTTTGTTTTGGTTTCCCTTTTTTTCATTTTTATCGTTCGATCCATCCTCTGTCTGACGGCGTGCAAGTTTCTTCATCTGGTATGATGAATGGATGGATGGATGGATGGATTGTTGGATAAATGGATGAATGGGTGAATAAATGGATGAATAAATGGATAGATGAATGAATGGATGGATGGATGGATTGATTATTGTGTCTTTTATTGGATAGAATGATGAATAGATGGACGAATGTAGGAAATGAAATGATGAACTGAAAAAATTTGTGCAGAAAAAATTTTATTGGTTGGATGAATGTATGGATGAATTAATAATTGGATAAATAAATTTACAGAATAAAGAGAGATGAATGAAATGATTGGTGGAAAATCATCATAGATGAATTGTTGAATGAATGACTGAATTAATGAATGAATGAGTGAATGATCCTAAGAGAAATTTAATGAAAGAACGAATTAATTAACATAATTTACTAAAGACAAAAATTAAATTCCCAGTAAAATAAACTCTAGATAGTGTATGCTTGCGTATGTAACCCTACGTGTACATATACGTGCATTCACTGATTGAATAAAAACTGATCTGCCAACATGCCATTGGTCATTATCGTAAATTAATGGAGAGTTTATTTGCATATATCCTGCTCCTATGCCAGTTTATTTCTTTTTACTCGTCATTTATCTTTCTCTCTCTCTTTCTTTATCTCTCTCTCTTTCTCTCTCTCTCTCTCTCTCTCTCGATATAAAAATTAGATAAATACATTTAAAATTCAAAATTGTAACGTAAACTCTATTTAGTTTTCAATTAATTTTGTATTATTTCTTCGATATTTTTCAAAAAATCTCTTCGGCATAATGCATCTAAAAAGCTGTTTTATGAATGCAGGAACCTAGGTTATGTAACAAAGAAAAAATACACAAGGAGAATGTGAGGGAGGAGAGGGGAAAGAATGAAGAAATCTTTGAAAACGATCTGACGTCACAAACCTTGGCTCTCTGATTTTGAAACCAGACTTGCACCACCCTCACGCTCAGGCCTGTTTCCGTTGCCAATGTTTCTCTGACCTATAAAAAAAGGTTAAAGGCTGTTTTTTTCCTCATTGCAATGACTTCGATGTATAAACACGCGCGCACACACGCACACATGGCGTACGTAAACAAGCATAAAACTAACGCATCGTACATTTTTGCTCACGGCAGGCAAGAGATTTTTTGAATATAAACCCGATTATGACGTCATCGTCGTCATCCTCATCGTCATCATCGGAAAACGTGTCACCGTCATAATTAACATCATCATCGTCATCACTTTCACCATACATTGTCATCGTTATTTGTAGAAACATCATCCACATCATAATATTAACATATTAATAATAATAATAATCATTATTATTATTATTATTATTATCGCTTTCGCCATCATCGCAATCAGCAGCAGCAGCAACATCTTCACCCTCACTTCACCTTTCGACATGGTTTGGGGTTGACTTCGAATGAGGCTTTGAACTTTCTACGCTGAGAGGTCGTTAGGATGGTCCTTGGTCTCTTCGGGCCTTTGTTCTGGTCGTTGTCGCCATCTTCCAAGCTACAACTGTCGTCATCGGCTGTTTGTTGGAGATTGTAGGGTTTTGATTGGCTGTTGAAGATTGTAGGAGATTAAAATCATGTAAGGATTGTGATAATTGGTTGAATATCGTGGAGGATCTGTGATTGGTGACCGAAAATTTTGTAAGAATTGTGACTGGTTGATGAAAATTTTAAAAAAGTGACTGATAAAATAAAAAAATGAGTAACGATGACGAGAAATAAGATTAAATTGAAACGACTTGAGAACTGAGATTAGAAAATAAGAATTGAATGATGCAGAATAGAACATTTCACCAACACATTGCAAACCAGTCACAGTATCCAAGATGTTGCTGGTGCTGGAGATGATGGGGAAGATGAAGAGAAGCACTTCCGTTTAAAAGTGGATTGTAATACTTATTGGTGTATTTATTACTGTTGTACTGATTGCTAATTTGTTGTTGTTGTTGCTGCTGCTGCTGCAGTAGTATTAAATCGGAATGTGCCTGGCAGTAGATGTTGTTGTCCAGTACAGTGTAGTGGTCCCCTCTGTGAAGAAGCTGACCGCAGATGCAACACAGGAAACAGTGAACGTGGAAGATGACGTCATGAGCCGTCCGCATGACCAGATCGTCTGGACCAATCAGGTCGAGGCAGCCTCTGCATCGTACACCGAACATCCTGCAAGGTGTGGAATTGTGTTGTGCTGTGTTGTGTTGTGGTGTGTTGTGGCGTGGTGTGTTGTATTGGGGTATTTAGCGCTGCATCAAATTGTGGTGCGCTAAACTGGCTGGTGATAAAGAAAGAAAATATAAAGTGTACATCGTTTTTGTGTGGTTTTGATCGTTTGAATGTTTGTGTTTGAATGTGTGCTTTATGTCTGTTTGTGTGCATTTGTTCATTTGTTTATTAATTCGGCTGTTTTGTATGCGTTCATGTGTGTGTCCGTACAGCGTGTGGATATGTGTATGTAAATATGTTTGTGTATGTACATGTGTGTGTGTATGTACATGTGTGTGTGTATGTACATATGTGTGTGTATGTGCATGTGTGTGTATGTACGTGTGTGTGTGTATAGATGTTTGCTTGCTTGCATGTCTGTCTACATTGTTAAAATGTGCGCGTGTGTTTAACTCCCGTTTCAACCTCCTGAGATTTCACACTTCTTCTTATCTGCTTTATTATGATGACGTTGATACAATTTCCAACTAACTACGGTGTCTGCACACACACACACACACACATAAACACACACACTCACCACATACACACACACTCACCACACACACACACACACAAACAAAGAAACGCACACATACACACACACATGTATTCATACATACAATCGTATAAATTTGTTTATTTAGTAGATATTGATAAAAAAAATGCTGCCAGATAAAATGGGTTTGTTGCTTTTATTATGGGAAGCATTATTATTGTCATAATAGTAGTATCACGTTCGTCGTCCAAACATTTTTTTTACAACATATAAAATAGTTGGTTCATTTGAAATTAATTCTTTTACTGTCGTTCATTCATTCATTCATTCATTCATTCATTTGTTCATCAATTCTTACATTTATTCATTCGTTCGTTCGTTCGTTCATTCATTCATTCATTCATTTGTTCATCAATTCTTACATTTATTCATTCGTTCGTTCGTTCATTCATTCATTCATTCATTCATTCATTCATTCATTCATTCATTCATTCATCCATTTGATCGTCCTTCGATCCATCCATCCATCAATCAACATTCCAACCAATCAACCTTAATATTGCTTTCTTATCTCTCTCATTATATCTGCCAATGAAAACAATGATGATGATGGTGGAGATGATGATGATGGTGGTGATGATGATAGTGGTGACGGTTTTGATAATGATGATAAATAAATTTTGGTGTGTCTAATTATTATCCAATAAATTACCTTTTTCATCTTTAACCACTACGATGATGATGACGACGACGACAATTATGATGATGATGACGAAGACGAGGGTGATGATGACGATGATGACAAAGACAATTATTATGATGATAACGACGATGATGACGATGATGAAACAGGAAATTTGCCCTCAAAAATATGGTAATGACGTTTATGAGATGATGATGGGGATGATGTCAATGGGGCAGTAAAACAACAACAACAACACCACCACCAACAACAACACCACCACCACCAACAACAACAACAACAATAATAATAATAATAATATGAACATTTATGTTGCGCAGTTCTTATTGTTTTTGCTTAGAAGGCTTCTCGCTTTGAAACCTCGTGTTTCTATCTAACATATCTTTGAATTCAGACATTGCTTCATTTCACCAGACGCTCAAAAACACGCAAACACACACACTCACATGCACAAATACACACACACACATGTACCAATATGTACCTAAACAAACATTCAAATACGCACACAAAAACATATACGCGAACACATGCAAACTCAGAAAACAATTAGAAGCAAAAAATGTGTGATGTGTG